ATTATGAACATATTTACAGTGAATATTAAAAAGAAAAAATTCTTTGAATATCTCCAGCCCACTTTGCTGTCACTTCATTGCCATTTGCTCCCCACCTTAGGTTTTTGAGATCTGCAAGTTTCAGACATTTCATCTTGACATCAAGTTAGTAAACTTGCTTCTTTTTAAATAAAATAATATCTCAACTAATTTGCATCAGCTTTGAGCCAGCTGGAAGGTTGCTATCTTTGCTGGAGGGATGATTCAGGGGGCTTCCTTGAATCATCGCCCCCACCCCACAAAGAAAGTCTCTTCAGAACTGGGTCAGGGTCACCTGGAAGAGGAAGAGGAAGAGGAACCTGGCTGAAGAGTTATTTCTTTAGCCTATGAGTGGTGGGAGGACTGATCTGAACTGATTGGGGATTTGCCTAATCCAGCATAGTTTTTCTCTGTTTTTATATTTGCCAATGTTTGATATTATATCATTTGTCCATACAAGCATGGCATGGCATTTCGTAGTTGTCACATTTCTTTTTTGCTGTTGTTCTGAGTCATATCATATTGTGCAAATTCATTCAGTTAAATTTTATTCGCTCATTTCTAAAATTAATTTTACCCCCCAGCCCTTGAATATTTGCAAATGTCCAGTGTGATCCTCAGACTGAAAAGTTTGAAGATTTCTGCTCTAGCTTAATAAAAAGAAAGATTGGGGCGACATAATAACAGTGTTCCAATATCTAAGGGATAGAGTGGGTCAATGTATTGTACAAAGCAGCTGAAGGCAGAACAAGAAGTAATGGATGGAAACTAATCAAGGAGAGAACCAACCTAGAACTAAGAAATTTCTTGAAGGGAGAACAATTAATGAGTGGAACAGCTTCAAAAGTTGTGGGCGTTCCATCAATGGAGGCTTTTAAGAAGAGATTGGACATCCATTTGTCTGAAGTAATTTAGGGTGTCTTGCTTGAGCAAGGGGGTTGGACTAGAAGACCTCAAGGACTCCTTCCAGCTCTATTATTCTGTTCTGTTTTAAAGAGGGACACTTTAAAAAAAAAGTCAAAAGATGGTAACGAAGTTACAAAAATCTTATATAGTTCGAATGCTTACCCATTACCACTCCCTTTTTTAAAGAGAAAAATATTATTTTAATAGTATGTAGAGAGTTTTAGAACTTTGGTAAGAATTACCTGCTGTATAAAACAGAACAAAGGTACAAAATAAAAAGAAAAGAATATAAATGAAAGAATGGATGTTCTCATTCCCTATGGCAGTGATGGCTAACCTTCGCATGTGCGCATGCCAGCACCCATAATGCAATGCATGGGCCTGGTGGCTCAGCAGACTAAAAGCATTGTGATTAACACCAGCTGTCTGCAATTACTGTAAGTTCGAATCTCACCAGGCTCAAGGTTGACTCAGCCTTCCATCCTTTCTAAGGTAGGTAAATTGAAGACCCAGTTTGTGGGGGCAATAAGCTGACTTTGTATAAATATACAAAAGTATGAAGGCTATTGCTTAACGCATTGTAAGCTGCCCTGAGGCTCCGGAGAAGGGCGGCATATAAACCAAATTTTTAAAAAAGAAAAAAATGCATGTCCCCCCTGCATGCGCACGTGACCCCCTGGGCGACCCCCTCTCATGCGCTCGAGGGGTGGGATTCAAAAATTTTAACGACCTGCACCACAGCCGGGGGGGGAGCGTTTTCACCCTCTCCAGGCTCCGGAGGCTTTTCTCGAACCTCCGGGAGAGTGCAAACAGCCTCCCCAGTCTGTTTCTAGACTTCCGGTACTTCCAGTAGGTCCATTTTTCACCCTCCCCAGACTCTGAGCCTCCTGCATGTGTCCCGGCGCATGCCGAAAATCAGCTGGCCGGTGGGAGGCATGTGCGTGCATGCGCAGTGGAGCTGAGCTGGGCAATGGCTCACGTGCCTGCAGAGAAGGCTTTGCGTGCCAGCTGTGGCATGCGTGCCATAGGTTCGCCATCCTGCCCCTATGGGTTCTGGCTCTATGCTTTGAGGCTATTTTCTTCAGTCACTCCAACGAGTGATGGAAAAAAGATGCTTTTTCTCATTTAATAGATGTTTAAGATACATAGTTCCTTCAGACCAATTTAAACTCCTTGGTTAAGAAGTCTTCATTATGTATATATTTTTATATTTTATATTTCATTATGTATATATTTTTATATACCATTCAGCAACTTAATTTAAGATGTATGACCCCAGACAGTTTAGCAATATAATATAGTACAGCCTCAGCTTATTTTATTTTATTATTTTGTTTTATTTTATTATATGTTTATTTTATTTACAAATAAATCTATAGCCTTTTCTATAAAATCTATTGGTTTTTTATATCTGGATTACATTATTTTAAGATTCATTTTCAAATATTTCCAATTCAGTTATTCCATGTGTAAAAAATGATTGGCACTAAATATGTTTCTGTAATATTCGACAAATATACTTGTTTCAAATCTACATTTGGAGATGATGAGATGGTATTTAATGTTTCTGAATATTTTTCCAATAACTTTTGATGGTGCTATCTAACATGAATAAGTGGAACAACTTTTAAAGGAGGTGTTCAACTCTACAGGAACTTTCCCTAACTAGAGCTGAGAGCTGTCAAGATGTAGTCATATAATGTATGTATAATATATGCTGGAGTCCAGCACTCTTGGATGATAGCTATGGTATAGTCACTTTGCAGTGAACCTGTTTAATGTTTCTATTGTAAGATTTTCCTCACTTTATTAGGAATCATTACATTTTATTTTAAGAGCAGGAATAGTTCATGATTATCGGTGATATACTGTACTATGAAAGCAGAATAACTTGATTTTTCATTGGGCTTGGAATAGTTTTCCTATACTGCAGATCTTGTGTTCAAGCTAATGGGAAATATAATTCTTCAACCCGTGCACTTATATCATAAGGCAAGGAAATTTGTGTTGTTAGCCAATCCTGTTTTGTTCATAGCATTAAAGAGCTGGCTGTAATGCATCCTGTTTACTTTGTTCTTTAGACTTTTTAACACATTGTGAAATAGGAAGGGAGGAAGAAACCTTTCTGTGGCCAGTACTCAGATATGGAGTGTTCAAAGAGATTTCATATTTGCTGTATTTATTTTGTCTATTCTAGGAGACATAGACTTGGCAGCTGTCAAATCAATGATTTCAACATTTTCCTTTTGTATCAGCCCCAAGTATGTGTTTATGCAAGTAGGGAGAGGCAGGTTTTGGGGTTCAAGGAAGACCAGTTGTGTTTAATCATACAAAATAATGACAAGATTGCTAGCACTTTGCATTATTTTACATATTCACTGTTAATAATAAAAATATAGTGTTTCTCATCAATATATGGATAATGCATACAAGGTTTTCTGAGTTTTCAGTGTCTAACATTTTGTTTTAGCATCTGGAACTTTACCGTGTGCAATACAAACCAAGGAAGTCAATGTTCAGTGGTAAAAAAAAAATTCCTAAGCTTCATATTACTAATTATTAGAAGAACTATATATTAATCTGTTTTACAACTATCTCTTTCTTGGCTTATTTTATATTGTATTGTGCCAGGTAAAAGTCAAGTCAAAACTTTTTGTGTTTTGGCATTGGAATTGGGTTAAATTTTTCTCTCAACTTTGATCATTAGGAGTTTGAATGTTTTGAACAAGCCGAAGAACATACCCTGTTGGGGTCTTCCTTGAAACTCTTTTGAAGAGACCTGCCTTCTTCCTACATACATATACAGTGCTTTGGGGCAGGTAGGAGACGGATAGTGTTGAAGCCATTTGGCAGCGCTATTGCTATGTCTCCTGTGTTAAAAAAGAAGCAGCTACCTAGGAGCTTCACCATGGTCCATTTGCTGAAATTGAAGCAGCAATTTTAGATCCAGATATCCCAATCCTGCAAAGGAAGTGGATAGGTTGATAGGAAGAGGCTGAACAGGCTTTTGGGCAAGCATAAATTGCTTAATTAGCACAGTCAGGTAAATTGGACATGTATCCAAATATGGTAGTTATCCGGGTGTGGATGCTGCTCTCACCACCATGATGATTTCCTGGTTTGAATCATATTTATATAAAAAGGTGACAACTATGATTGGTTAGGTCTGTGATGGCGAACCTATGGTAGCCATATCAGTTGCATGCACGTGCCGGCCAGCTGATTTTCGGGCCTTCTGGGCCCACCAGAAGTAGGGAAACAGGCTGTTTCCTGCCTCCGGAGGGGCTGGGGGGGGGAAGGCCTGTTTTTCTTTCTTACCTGGCTCCAAATCCCCTCTATGCATCTGCGGAGGGCGAAAACAGCCTTTCCCACTCCCTCGGAGGCCCTCCAAAGGCCTGAAACGGGCCATTTACCAACTTCCGATGGGACAGGAAGTGACGTTTTTTGCTGTCCCCAGCCTCCAGAGACTCCTAGAGAGGCTGGGGACAACAAAAAACGTCACTTCCTGTCCCACCGGAAGTTGGGAAATTTCAGGCCTTTGGAGGGCCTCCGAAGAATTGAGAAAGGCTGTTTTTGCCCTTCCCAGATAAATAGAGAGGATCTGGAACCAGGTAAGAAAGAAAAACGGGCCTACCAGGCTATCACGTGCCAGGAGCGTGGGCGGGGAGATGAGAGGTTGCGCGTGCATGCATAGGGCAGGGCGCATAGAATTATTGGTGTGGGCACGTGCGTGAGTGACCCTCTCCCGCCCCGCCCCCTCTCCTGGCACGCGATGGCAAAAAGGTTAGCCATCACTGCCCTAGGTAATATGGGTTATTTATTTAATTGGCCAATGAGTTGCATACATAAATGTGGTTGTTCTTTTTATTCTTCTGGTTAAATTGTGTCAGTATGTGTGATTATGGGATATCAAAAGAGATTAAAAGATTAAAAAATATCTTCATGTCTTTCAGTTAATAGAACTAACTAATGTTCAAGCAATGCCATAATATTTAAAAATCAGCAGAATATACCTGAACATAGATTATAGTACCTCTTGTTTGTCTATATGATAATATGGATGATTTTATTTCTAGATTCTTGGTGGAAAGATGGATGAACACTTACCAGAACAGCACACTACTCCAAGGATGGTCAACCTATCAAAGACTGGTAATGAATCTCCCATTTTACCAAGTGTTGAAGAAGCTGACAAAAAGTATGATATTCAGGATGATGTACATATTGCAGACACAAGATGTGAAAAAAGCACTTTAAGCATAGAAAATAAAGAGTTAATACTGGATCCCACCTTTTCATCTATTGATTTAAATGAGGATGGAGATGTAATTGAAGCACAACCTGCTCCAAATTTTAACAGAGACTGCTGTGAGTTAAAAGTAAAAGAATCCAAGGAAGCAGATTGCTTGTCCAGTGAACAAAGTGAACAAAAGGTTTTGAAAACAGAGGACAAAAATCAATCCTTGACGGACCTATTTCAAGATCATGTGAAAAGACCTTATGGGGTCTGTTCAGAGAGCCCATATGACACGGATTACACTAAGAACCTTATCTCAAATCTAGAGAATGCTTCCTCTCAGGAGGCTTTGCTAGAAGAAATTGAATCTGAGCTCCTGTCAACAGATTTGTTGAAAAATTCTACACTTTCAAACGGAATGTGCAATACCAAGGCTACCTTGGCTGTATTTGAAAAATGCATTCAAGATAAATATTTACAGCAAGAGCACATAATAAAGAAGTGAGTACTGTGTGAATAGCTGTATACTGCCTCTTAAACATTTTTGTGGTCTGTAATAGATTTATGGTCTGGATAGCCATAATGATATAATCATACTGAAACTGATAGTTGGACAAATATTTTTGAAATTTTGAGATCTAGGACTCCCTTAAGGTAACTCTTTGGGAATGCGAATGCCAACTTGTTTCTTAATCTGCAAGAATTGGGCAATGTCAGCCCAATTTCTGTGTTAGTCATATTTTTCAGTGTAATTTTTGCTGATGAGGAGATACTTTGCATTGAAAAGTGAAATAAAGAATCTTCCATTGTCAAGCATTTCCTTTGCTATGATGGGATCCTAAGTACTTGATTAAGAAATAAATTGTAGTCTAAAACCACAAAGGCTGCCTGAAATTATGCAGCACCCCTGCTAAGATGCATTGTCATCAGATGGGACAATTAATGTAACATTGTACATCAATATATCATGGATATTTATTTTTACACTAAACTTGAATTAAGGTTAGGTAGGAATAATTAGCTATACAAGATGAACTTGCAATAAAAGGCATAACCAGAAAGAATTTAGTTTAACATGAAATGAAGCCCTTTGCAAAGTCACCATTATATCTTCTGTTTTATATTAGAGAAAAGTTGCAGTTGGCCAGTGGAGCTTCATAGCTAATTCTTAGCTATAAAATTACCTTTATCCAAAGGTTGAAATGATACTGTAGAAGTAAACACAACAGTTGCTAAAGCATAGCAACCAAAATACAACACACAGTTCGCCTATCAGAATTTTGTCAGTTGACAGGGCATTTGTTGTTGCATAGTAGCATATACAAAGTCAACTGAAATCTGTAACAATTGTACATTTTTTAGACATGGTTGCAAATTTAAAATAGAGACACTAAATGGTTATTGTGATTCCCTATGAGCATATACTTCATGAATTTTTCAAGGTAATTGGATCCAAGAAGATTGATTTATTTTTATATCTTAGATTTGACTAACCATCTTGAGTCATATATTGAGTGGTAGGTATATAAATTCATTGAATATAAATAAATGTTCTTGGATTAATCAATGTATTGCTACTTATACCTGAAGCACTTTGCAGAGCCCGGGTAGTGAACTTTTTTTATTAGGCTTATCAAAGTGTAAAATATAAACGAAAATGAAAATAGTGCAAAAATGGGGAAAGGCAATGGGGAAAGAAAAAGATGTAGGCTAAAGGGGGGAAAAGAAAGAATAGATTTTTTTTTAGTGCATTATAATAACATCATAACATTACAGCTTCAATTTTTTACTTTTACATACTAATATGTACTAGCCATTCTATAACAACAAACTTATGTAATTACAGAACCCAAAGTCAACCCAGATCATGACCTTTTGCGAAGCAATGCAGGATTATTATTCTTCTTCCTTTTCCCCTTCCTCTTCCTCTTCTTCTTCTTCATTGCCTAATAGTTTTGATAATTTCGAAACATGTTACCTTTGCCTTGAATATAGCTGTTCTAGATACCCAGGTTGTGTTGATTGGTTATATGACTTTCTAGCTTTTTCTGTCCAGACAGTTTCTTTAATATACATAAAGGTAGTGCTCAAGTTACAACCTCAATTGAGCCCAAAATGTATGTTGTTAAGTGAGTTTTGCCCCCATTTTACGAGTTTTCGTGCCACACTTATTAAGCGAATCATTGCACTTGTTACGTTTTTGGTTCATTTTCTTAAAAGTGGTTGAATCTAAAAAGCAACTTTGGTGTGAAGATAGCAATTAAACTGGGTTCTTAATGTTCTCTGAGTGTGGCTTTCTTCTTGCAAATGTTTTGTTGTCACACTGGGTAACATTATCAGCACTTTGACATGGAAGAGATACAGGGTGTATTACCAGCCTTGTGTGTGTGTTTGGGCTGGATCAGTGGTATTGTTTCTTCTTTGATTGGCAAGCTATTGTCTTGTGCTTGTAGTGATTAGGTGCTGGTTCGATACTTATCTTGGGAGTTGGTTAATGAGGATGTGGTGTGGCCCGTCTGGCCCTTCCTTTGAGCTTTTGTTGTTGCTTTTGAATTTTGAAAAATAAATGGAGTTTATTTCTATATTCCTGTTAATTGTGAATTTGTCAGAGTGCCAAGCTTCTAAGAATTCTCTCACATGGAATTGAATTCACAAGAGAGGAAGGAAACAGTGACAGGCTACCCTTCCTAGACATATTTTAATAAACAAAGAAAATAATGCTAACTGTAAGACCAAGTGCATCATAAAGCAATCCCATTTTAATTGAGTACTGAACTACCTACAGCACAGAAAAGTTCATAACAACAGATGATTGTCAAAAATGATTGTGGTAACCTAGAACTCCAGGAAGGAGAAATAAATATACAACATGTTCTAATTAAATGGATACTCTGCAACTTCATTTTTTTAAAAAAAGCCTATTCATGCAACCAACCAGAATGCTTTTCCTTGAAGGTTACAATTGGCTCTATGGCTTCTGTTTTTAGAGGCCAAGTCTTCTTTACCAGGCTTTTTATCAGGCCATTTCAACTTGTGGGAGTTTAATTGTATTTTATTGCTTTGGGGGAAGGGCGCCACAGATCTTAAATAAATTTCTTGGTCTCTATAGTAGTTTCAAAGAGGACAAGAGGACTGGGTTCACAAATGTTCACCTTGCCTGATCAATTATTTTAATTGTTTTAATGGATAGATTGATTAAAGAAAACAAGAAGCATCAGGAACTAATTTTGGACATTTGTTCAGAAAAGGACAACTTAAAAGATGAGCTGAAGAAGAGAACAGAAACTGAAAAGCAACACCTTAATATAATTAGACAGGTAAGAGTTTTATGCTGATCCAAGTTTCTTCAGGAAACATTGTGTATTTCTATTTATAGTTCTAAAGTGATGTTCAGAAAATTAGATTTCAGATTAGTCTTTCCACAGTCTAAGATCAATTTTTTTTTTCCTGATGGACTAAATTGCAGTGATTTTTTTTTCAATTGCAGAGCAGGGTTTTCAGAAAGGAAAGGAAGTGACAATTCATCAGCCTTGCTGGACCATATTTAAAATGATGTTTATATGCTTTATTCCTCTCTCTTCCCATATTGCATGTTAATGGTTCTTTGCTTTCCAATCGGTGGTTCTGAAATTTCTGAACCCTCTCCAGCCTAGATCCTATATGGATATTCAATCTGTTCCAAAACTATTTTTTTTAAAAAATAATAATTTATTGCTCAATAAGTTATCGCTGCAGAATTTCTCAGATACAAATTGGTATGTTGGTCTCCAGTTTTTAAATTCTTAGGTTTAACTTTTTTCTAAGGTATATAAATGCAGAAATTATGATTTCTAATATGTCAGTTTTTAAGATCTTTCTTCAAATTTTACAGATTATGTAATTTACATATACCTATACATACTGGCATTTGTTTTCTTTTACAGCTGGAAATGAGAGTAGAAGACCTCCAGAAAGAAGCTAAAACACTTAAAGATAAACTTGTATCTCAGGATGCTGCTGCAAAAAATGCTATACAGCAATTGCACAAAGAGATGGCCTTTCGTACAGATCAGGTAATTAATCAGGTGATAATTTCCTAGTTTAGAATGTACGCTATTTTGACCCATCACATGTTTATATTGTCTATTCCAGAGTTCCCCAACCTTTCTGGGTTGGTGGAGGTGGGGGAGGGAGGTGCCTTTACGCACGCATGTGCACATGGGAATGGGGCTGCGAGCGCGCGCATCACAAATAGGGCCATGAGCATGCCTGCGATGCAAACTGGGCCATGAGCATGTGCGTGACCCTAGTGCGAGTGGAGTTGTGTGCATGCGCACACACTTGCATGCACTGGCCAGCCACTCACGCAGCCCACAGGTTGGGAACCCCTGGTATATTCTAACTTTGCTGGGAGCCAAGTTAATAGAACAAGTTCCTCCCAATTTTCTAGGAAACTATGTATTTTGTAATCCTTCAATTGATTTTTTTTTTTTTTTTTACTTTCTTTGGAGGAGAAAATAATATTTGCTCTCATGTCTAAAAGTAAACTTGTAATATTTGGTATTCTAAGGCAAACAAGAAATGTGAAGAAGCCCGTCAAGAAAAGGAAGCTATGGTCATGAAGTATGTTAGAGGAGAAAAGGAGTCCTTGGACCTGAGAAAGGAAAAAGAGATCCTTGAAAGAAAACTCAGAGATGCAAACAAAGATATTGAAAAACATACTAACAAAATCAAGCAGCTTTCCCAGGAAAAAGCAAGATTGCACCAACTATTCGAAAGCAAGGTATGCTATTTGCATTGATGTTCTTTTGGTAGTCACCTTGAATACAAAAAAAAGAGAGGCAAAAATGATGATACCATTTAGTTGTTTCTTGCACATGAAGTGCAGAAAGAAGTTAAAATAAAATGAAGCAGAGGAAAAAAGTTTCAGTATACATATTATATCTATATCTGTGATGAGTTGGATTCTTTTGGGACACTTAAAGAAAACAATTACCATGAATGGAGGAGCTTGCCTAAACCCAGACTGATTTCTATGAATTAATATGGTCCGCCAAAGAACTACTGATTACCCAGAATTCAAGCCATGGGAATATTTTTAAAGAAAACTATGGGATTCAGCTATCCACCACTTGAGCCTTCTTAAACTTGTAGGATGCTAGCTTTATATCTGTTCTTTACCTACTCATCTGCCTAGAGTACTTACCTACCTACCTAGTTTCTCACAAAATAAGACATCCCCTGATAATAAGCCCAATCGGGCTTTTGAGTGTATGGCAGTAAGGCCAAGCACTTATTTCAGGGTTCAAAAAAATATAAGACGGTCTTATTTTCGGGAAAACACAGTACCTATCTGTCTATTTGCCATAGAGTACTTACTCACCTACTACCTTCCTACCTATTTGTCATTAAAAGAATCTCAGGAGAAGAGCAGAAAATTCATTACAGCAAACTGCCAGCCAAGTATAAAAGGAGATGTATATCCACAGTCTTCAAGCATATTGACATTCATGACATTATATTGCTTACCTTGATCTATTATGCAAATAAATAATATTCTCAAATTGTGTATTTCTATCTGTGTTACTTTCTTGAGTATTTTAATTTTTCTTAATTTATGGAAAAAGGAACTAAGTCTAGCTCCCTATAAAATATTGCTGGCAATAAGACCCTATTGTTGTTTATATGTCATGTCTATTATAAGATAGTTTTCTTGACCCTCTAATTTTATTCAGGCAACTAATATTTTACAGAATTAGAACTATTTCACTATAAAACAAAGAAACAATGCTATGGTGTTGTAAAGCGATAAGTTGAAAAAGGAGTTACTTCATACTTCCGTTGCCTGATCACTTTTCAGTATAGTGAGGAATTTGCTGCCCCCAAATGGTGAAATTTGAATTAGGTGTAGTCTAAATTATGTTTAAAGGCATGTTTATATGTGAGGTTAAAAGTGTTTGTGCTTTTAACAAAGGAAAAGCCTAATTGATCAGAAGGCTGATTTGCATAAATAAAGACCCCCTACTGCAATATTTTTTTCAGTGTAAGATTTATTTTTTGTAAAATAAAAAAAAAAAGGATTTACCCAGTGGAGATAACTAAAATCAAGGTGAGAAAAAAAAAAGAAAAATAGCAAATGCTTTAATGAAATTAGATGTGATACCATATATAGCTTTGACATTAGCATCAGTTACTGAAAGAGGTGGCAAAATTCAAGCAAAGACTAAATGGCCACCTGCAGAAATGCTTTAATTCAGGGGTCCTCAACCCCCGGTCCATGGATCGGCAGTGTGTCCACAGCATGCCAGCAACTGGTCCTCGCAAACAAGTGAAGCCCCAGGCAGCATGCAAAACCACGCCCACTCCGGTCCGTGGAAAAACCTTTTTCCATTGAACCAGTCCCTGGTGCCCAAAAGGTTTAATTAACATTTATATGATAAGTTAAACATCCACTTCCAATTCTACAATTCCCTGATTAACATTATAATATCAATCACATCACATTGTACATTCAAGTCCTTCAAGGAATTAATATTCCATTGTCAGTAGATACAGACAGGTAGATTTCTTAAAAGTCAAAAAAATCCAATTATTTTATGCTCCACTTTGGTTAAACCATTATGATTACATTTATTGTTTGCAGAATGGTAAATTAAACTTTTTATTAGTCCATAATACTCAATTAACCTCAGTATTCTAAAATTATCCTTTATAAAGGAAAATGAAACCACCAGAATGTCACGAGATATTGAAAAATTAAAAGAAGAAGTCAATTCTTATGTGATCAAAGTAAAATGGGCTCAAAACAAATTAAAGGCTGAAGTGGATTTACACAAGGTCAGTATGTTTCATTTTATAAAAGACCTCTGAGGGTTTTAAGATCATCTGCTTGTGAAGGAATTTGTTGTCTAATTCCTCTATTTAATTTTTAAGTTTTTATGTTAACTGAATGGATACACAACTTTTTGGGGGGATCTTGGGTCTTTACTTGGGCCTTTTAAAATAAGATAAAGATACTTGAAAATAAGATAATTTAACCAATTTGATCATATTAATTTCCATGCATTTATTTTTATTTTTTATCGGTGTCACTTTAAACACTTTGGACAAGAAGATAGATAATGACAATGGGAAAAAAAATTCTACATGTGTGGCTTTGGGTGCATCACATTTGGGAGCTTCTCATTGAGCCCATCTGTTCCACCATGAATTGAAATAGAATGCTATCATTTCTGTGTGGATTTTAATTTACCAATGTTTTCATTTAAATTACTGTTAGTAATTATTAAATCATTTTCTAGGAAACCAAAGATCGTCTTAAAGAGGCAACAGCAAAGTTAACTCAAGCCAAGGAGGAAGCTGACCAGATACGAAAAAATTGCCAAGAAATAATAAAAACATATCAGGTATGATCTAATTTCACTTTCATATAAATCTTTTCTTGCAATACAGAAGGGTAATCATTCTGTCTGAAACTCAAGAGTGATGACATAAAATACACACATATCACAGTTTATACATGATGATACAAAAGATCATGATAATTTAATCTAATATAGACTTGATCCCTGTGCCAAATAGTTATAACAATGTCATATGTTGTCACTAGTTCATCTTTTCTCAATATCTAATTATTTTCTTAAAATAGGCAGTTTTATATCCCACCTGGGCTTCTCTGTAGAGAAACTGGCCAGTTTCTCTACAGAGAAACTAGACAGTATTGCATTCTTTAAAAAAACCTTCATTGTTTTTTTATTAGATTTAATAAAAAATTTTAATAAAAAATTAGATTTCATTAGATTTAATATTATTCAATATTAATCAATAATAATATTCAAGTTCCTCTTGAGAGGAGCTAAATATAATTTTCAGGAAAGCCATACTAACTTATTTCCAGGAGGGCAGTCATCATCCATCCCACAGTGAATAAACACATGTTCTTGATTTAACATCTGATGTCTCTAAACTTGCTCACTTATTGTTGGAAATGCCGATTGCTCAAACCAGCTATATCTTTAATAGATCAATATATCTTTGGCTAGTCTAGAGAAAAGAAGAACTAGGGGTGACATGATAGCAGTATTCCAATATTTGAGGGTCTGCTACAAAGAAGAGGGGGTCAAATTATTCTCCAAAGCACCTGAAGGCAGGACAAGAAACAATAGGAAACTAAACAAGGAGAGAAGCTGCCTGGAATTAAGAAGAAATTTCCTATGAGTGAGAATAATTAACCAGAAGAACAGCTTGCCTTCAGAAATCATGGGTGCTTATCACCTGAAGTTTTTAAGAAGAGACTGGAGAGACACTTGTCTGAAATGGTATAGGGCCGTGATGGTGAACCTATGGCACGCGTGCCACTGGTGGCACACGAAGCCATATCAGTGGGCACATGACTATTGCCCTAGCTCAGCTCCGATGTGTGCATCTGATTTTCGTGCCTTCTGGGTGCACAAGAAGTAGGCAAACGGGCCATTTCTAGCTTCTGTGGGGATGGGGAAGGCTCATTTTTGCCCTCCTCAGGTTCCTAGAAAGCCTCTGGAGCCTGGGGAGGGCAAAACCTGGGGCTTCCACTCCCATCGGAAGTTGGCCAGCGGGCTGTTTCCAACCTCTGGAGGGCCTCCGAGGGGCATAGAGAAGGCTGTTTTTGCCCTCCCCAGGCGCCAAGAAAGACTCTGGAGCCTGGGGAGGGCGAAAAATGGGCCTACTGGGCCTACTGTGCCATTGCGTGCCAAAAGTGGGAGAGCGTGGGGGGCACTTTGAATTATGGGTATGGGCACACTCGCACATGACCCCCCCCGCCCTCCCCCCCGCTTTTGGCACACAACGGCAAAAAGGTTAGCCATCACTGATATAGGGTCTCCTGATTGAGCAGGGGGATGGACTAGAAGACCTCCAAGGTCTCTTCCAGATTCTGTTCTGTTCTATTCTTATTCTTGTGTCATAAATTTGCATATATTTGTCCCACTTTCAAAGAAATGTGCAAAAGGAATTTAGTCATTCCACAAAGTCCCACATGTTTAGAATGTGAGGGAATGTGTCATTCTCACTACAGAAAGTTACAAAGGGACTTTGTAACTTTGCTTATTTCTTGCTGGTATAGAAAGCAGCTATTTGTTTCCAAAGCTGACTTACTAAAACAAACAACTTTTAGGTTGACTGTAAATAAAAGAGACATAAATAAATTGTGCAACAAATAGGTTTTAGGATGGATATTTTACTGTATAAATTACATCATCAAGACAATTGAGATAATATTTATATAGATATAGGGTTCTGGAGAGGGCATTTAAGTCTGCTTCATAAGCTCATCTTCTATGTTTTTTCAACTTTTAAATTGTAATGTTGTTAGGAGTCTGAAGAAATTAAATCCAATGAATTGGACCTAAAACTTCGACTTACCAAAGGAGAATTGGAGAAACAATTGCAAGAGAAATCTGATCACCTAGAGGTAAAATGTATTACTTGCACCAGTTTTTGCTTTTTTGTAAAAATTAAATATTGCTGCTAGATTATGAGAAAAAGAGATTTGATAAAAATCACATCTAACAGGAAGACAGGTGAAAGTCATTTCTCCAAATTAAACAGAGATATGTCTTGGATTTTTTTCCCCTCTTCCAAAGGTCCATCATGCCAAGATAAAAGAACTTGAAGATGTGAAGAGAACATTTAAGGAAGGCATGGATGAATTGCGAACGTTAAGGACAAAGGTAAGAAAATGGAATTTAGTTGTAAGGAGATGTCAAGGATTCTTTAACATGTGGTTGTACATATGGTTTGTTTATTTCTTGAAAGTATACAACTGTGCATCTCAGCATTGTGACCTATATTATGATAGATAGATAGATAGATAGATAGATAGATAGATAGATAGATAGATGATCATGAAAAGCAACACTTAAGTGTAGCCAAAGTTTTTTAGTGCCCTAAATTGCACATGGATTGTGGGAGAGCAACCCCATCCAAAGTCAGAGATGGAAAGACTCCAGAGTCAAGAACCTTAAAACTACTGGGAAAGAACCTTGACAGCAAAATCCCTTGATGGATAACCCAAGGCAGAGATGTATGTTATTTAACTGTGTGCTGAGCATCAGCACAACTCAGCATCATCATTTGGATATTAAATAAAAATTAGGAGAGTAGCAAATTGAAAGGCAACCCATAATGCAAGGGCCTAATGCAGATGTGCTTCTCGAATATTTAATTCTTTAAATGTGCTTGCTTCTGCAAATTAGGACTTGAAATCAAATACGAAACTATGAACTCTAAAAGGTTTTTTCTTTTAGAGCTCACATGTGGAAGAATTAATTTTTCTGTGGAAATTAAGCTATTTCTGAAATTATAGTACAGCCGTAAATTCAGTGCAGTGCTTAGCTTCTTTGAGCTTAAATCCAAGGATTATCATAAAAGTGAGCCAAAGTCAGCCTACAAAGTCAGTGTTATAAGCAAAGTTAGGGATAGTGCAAAATGTGATATTCTAGGTTGCTGAAAAGGTATTCTGTTTTATGAACTATTTAATTTTATGCATTCCATATAATTATCATTTATTGGTGAAGTCCAAACATATAGTGGCAACCTTCATTTCCTATTCTTCTGTTGAAAAATGTGACTTCCCTGAACAACAGAGTCTTCAAAACCCTAAGAGCAGTTGGATAGCTTTATGCAATATTTCATTGTTCAAAAGCTTGCTAGAATACCAACTGCTAATGTGGATCTAATTGTTGCTATTTGAATGTTCACTGCTTCATTTTTCTTCATTCTTCCAAATCAAGGGCTGGGAAAGTAAGGGTGGAAGACTTAGTAGCCCTTTCTAAAAACGAAATCCAATTTCTAAATAAAAATTTATGCAATAAAGATGTAAATGCAGAATATTGCAGCCAACAATACAACATATTGCTGTGTTAATTGCACCTTTGCCTGGTGCTGGAAATACAATATTTTGATGTGCCTTATTGTGGACAGCATCTGTGATACCACTGGAGGGCCTATTCTCTTGCAGCCATACACCACTATTCAATATGAGAGAGCACTTGCCATAAACCTTAAGTTTCTGCCAAGGCCCAGAATATTATTTTCTTTGCACTTTTGTTTCTTCTAAAACAGGGGTATCAAACTCGCGGCTTGCGGGCTGGATGCATCACACGCTGTCCACGCCCATCCCCATTTTAGTGAAGGGGAAAAAAGTAGAGCTATGTCACGTGACAACAACACAACACCATGAGTTTGACACCCCTGTTCTACAAGTATCCACAAGATTACTTTTTGGGACTGGTGTTATTCAAAAAGAAGGATTTGTTTGTTTATTCATTCATTCAGTCAGTCATTTTTTATAAACCGCCCATCCATTCTTGATTGCTTAAGGACAAGTTGAGACCCACTTCACTGACCCATTTAATTACTTTATAATATGAATGGGTTTTTTCCAATTTGGAGGCCTAAAACCTCACCAAAAAAAACTCCTAACAAAGGATCATACATTTTCCTAAAGATGAATTCTTTCCTGTGTAGTCATAATGATTACATTTCATTAACAAGTTAATTCAGTTTTTCATTTCTAGAATGACCAGCTGTCATACAGTAGTAGTCCATTTTTTCTCTTGTAAAATTGAGGAGATTCAAAGCTTCTTGCTCAGTTTTGGATTAATTGTAATTTAGTGTTATGTCTGTATTATGAGTTAATTAAAATAAGGCACCTTATAATTGACAAATCACATTTGGCTTCTTTTGACAAATTGAAATTTATCAAGGTAACTTATTTTGTGATGAAAGTTTTCATGAAAGTAAAAATTTCCAAAATAGTTCTGCGATCTCTTGAAAGAGAAAGCAGCAAATGAGAAAAAAGAGAGAGTAGGCTGAATATTATCTAGCATGCATGTTCAACAAAATATTTTAATGCCCTGAAAAACTAATGAAACGTATTATATAAAATGCTATTGATGTTGATGAATTGGCTTTTTTTCTTTATTAGGTCAAATGTTTAGAAGATGAACGGTTGAGAACAGAAGATGAGTTATCAAAATACAGAGAACTTATTAATCGACAGAAAGCTGAAATTCATAATTTGCTAGAGAAAGTGAAAACTGTAGACCAGTTGCAGGAGCAACATCAAAGGTACAAAGATTAAGTTTGTAATTCTTTGTTTTATTTTAAACAATGGAAATACTTTTATATGTGGAGCATTCAATTTGAAACATTCTATTTGGTGCAACAAAATAACCTCCACATAATAAACAGTGGTTTTTAAAAATAAAATTAACTTAATTATGTAACATCACGAATACCAAGCAATACTTTGTTGCTGTTTAATACTGCTGCACCTGATATTTCAAATTTTATGTTCAAAATGGTCTGATTCAATCATTTTCAAAATGCTTACATGATATTTGATGCAATTTGTGTTTTAATATGAAAGAATTGAACTCAAACCAGGGTACTTCAAAGTCAGAATGCTATTGTTTAATATTTCTAAAATTTGTTGCAATGCAATGTAGCTTTGTGTTTAAATTGTTGTAATGGTAAGTTCAAAAGGGAAAAAATGTTACAGATAGGCTAATATTAAATATAAAAATGATTTATTTTTTATATATAATTATTTAGGATTTTGTTATATTTATATAAACACATATGCCTTTATTCATGGCTATGAATTCTTGCTAGATCAGCTATTTGAAATGATATGATCACATTTTTGAAATAAGAATGATAAGCATTCTCTTTTATTGTGAGTGTTTATAAGCTTAAAATGAATAATTCTTAAAAAGTTAAAATCACACTCTTTTCAGTAACATTTGCAAAGATAAGTTTTATTCTATCTTATTGTACGTGTCTTAATAAAATCGATAATTTTATTAATAATATGCCACCAAGAGCCTTGGTGGCATAGCAGACTAAAGCACTGTTAAGTAACACCAGCTGCCTGCAATTACTGCAAGTTCAAATCTCACCAGGGTCAAGGTTGATTCAGCCTTCCATCCTTTCGAGGTAGGTAAAATGAAGACCCGGTTTGTGGGGGCAATAAGCTGACTTTGTATAAAAAAGAACACTGCTTGGGGGAGGGTGAAAGCCCTACTAAGCAGGTATATACAAAAGTATGAAGGCTATTGCTTAACGCATTGTAAGCCGCCCTGAGTCTCCAGAAAAGGGTGGCATATAAATCGAACCAATAAATAAATCGAACCAATAAATTTACCGTAACGTTTCTGCATATTTCTTAACATATTAAATAAAGACAACCATTATGTAATTGGAGAACCATCATATAGTTCACAGGTTTTATAATTCGATAATTGTCTGGAATATTTCAGTGTCACTAATTTCCCTTTGGATTTGCATTGTGTAACATAAGCATTTCTTGCCAATTAACACTGAAATCCATTTCCTCAAAATATGTTGTTGGACTAGTTGCAGTTTGAAGCTGGTGTGTAAATTAGAAGTGACTCCTGCCATCAAATACATTTTCCTTTAGCAGTTACAACTATTTAATTGCTATGAATCATCTCATGTTCAAATTATCTATAACTACTTGCTTAAGTAGGAAATAAATACCTTATATATGGAACAGGTTTTCACATACCAAGACTTGGTCCAGACTAGTATAACTGGTCTGCTATTGTTTGATACATTTTCTGTTTTTATTGTCTGTTTTAACCAAAAGAAATTAGGGTGGGATAAGAGTACTAAGGAATGTCAGGCTGCAGGTGATCTGCGGGTATTGGTGGCATGTTTTCAGCTGTAGAATTTGTATTTGCCCAGTGGAGCTAAACCAGAAAGAGATCTTTGCTTGCTTGGTTTGCTCTCCACATTTTACTCTTTAAAATATATATTTGATTTAGAGATGAACAAGAAATGAACTCTTGGAAGGAAGAAGTGGATAGTCTGAACACTCTGCTTAGTGACTTCCAGAAGGACATAGATGGCAGTCGGAAAAGAGAATCTGAGCTATTGGTGTTCACCGAAAAGCTAACCACGAAGAATGCCCAACTCCAGTCAGAAACCAACTCCTTACAGATGCAGCTTGATAAGCTAACTTTCATGGAGAGAGAGTCTCAGAATCAGCTGGAGCTTGTTAATCAAGCAAGAGATGAACTGGTAAATCAAAGCGCTAGTGAAATATTTCTCCATAACCATTACCTGCAAATCCTGTGGTTGCTGTGAATCAAGGAGTATTCCCAAAGTTGCATTTGGTTCCTTCTAGGTGAATGTGATCCATTTTAAATGGTTTTCAAGCGAATCCTAGAGTTCAGTTTTCTCCTTATCAATAGGAACCATATCTTGCTTGCATTTCATTTCCATTTGTTCACATAAAGCATAACATGACAATAAACTTTAATTCCTGTGTGGTTGTAGGGAACTATGAACTGCCAAAGGATAATAAATAGTTAACCTGCAAAATGCAACTTTTGCTTTTAGGGTTTAGGATATGCGTTATGATTTGCAAGAGTTGGGAAGCCCTTGGTTTGAATCTCTTCCCATGGGAGATTATCCCTTTAAATGACTTCAAGCAGGCAGCAAATACATTTTTATTCTATATAGCGTTTACTAATTTTGGCCAACATTGGTTTAAATAAGACTCTTTAAAAGAGTCTTATTTTATGATGTCTTATTGCTTAATTTAGTTTTAATGTTTTCTCTTCTACAGTCCATACAGAAACCCTTATTAAAATGAAATAGTCATTCCTGAACCACTCTCTACAGGTTAAATTTCTACATAACAATTGTGTTTATTATCTGCTTTCCATGGTAAATCCATGTTGCTAAAAAAACCCTCAAGGACCAATCTATTGACCTGGAATAAATTGAGTAGGACGAACCAGACAAATCATTCAGCAGACCAAACTCTGCAAGTTGATCTAGAATCTCTTTTATTTAAAAAAAAAAGGCCCAGTTTTTAAAATTATATACTGTGGAAAGGAAATGCTGATTATATGTCATTTTTCAGGCAAATAAATTGAAGAAGGAAGACGAGTTCCACAGAAACAAGGTCCAGATGCTGGAGATGGAACTGGCATCTCAACAGAAATCATTTGCAGACTTGAACACCAAGGCAGGGGAATTAAAAGATGAGCTCATGACGCAGAAACGAAAACATGCTGCAAATCTTAAAGATCTCACTAAGCAACTTCAGCAAGGTTAATATTTCTCAAACATTGGCTTCTGTAGTGCATATTTGACCTAGGAATTAAAACATCAGCTTTTCATCAAAGATCTTGTGTTTTGTTTCATTAGCACGAAGAAAATTGGATAACCTTGAAAATGGCAGTTGTGATAAAGAAGTCAGCAGCATGGGGAGTCGTTCCAGCTCATCAGGTGAGTTATTTTGCTGGGTTTGTGAGGAAACAAAGCTATGCTAATGCTAATAACATAAGCTACAGCTGTAAAATCTGCCATGAAAATACATTCTTCCCCAGCAGTTGTTAAAAATTTCCTGCAGATCATGGCGTACTTGAATATGTACATGTTGCCCAATCCCAGTTAGCCAAACTACCTGTCTTTGATTTTTTCCTGAAAGCATAACGTTTCTGTGATCTTCCAGATCCAGAATAATTTCATACTAATGTCTCATGGGATAAACTTAGGCAAATTTGGAAAATCGTGTACTGCACAGCTATAAGAATGTATTTTAAAATACATTCAATAAATGTATTTTATGTATACAATAAAATACATTTTAAAAGGTCATGATAGTAAATGCAAATAATGTGTTACAGTCATAACACAGCTAGAACACTTCAATTTTCTATACTTGACTCACCTACACATTGTGATGAATTTTCCAAGTCTAGCTAATTTTCAGCCAACAAAAGCTGTACTGTGTGAGCTTCCCTGCTCTTTCATTCCTGAGATCACTTATTACTTTATGCAATTGCTGACACACCATTGCTGATATTTTAAGGGTAACACAAGCTGACTCTGCTATATTTTCAGTTCTTTAAGAATACCATCTTCATTTATCTGTAGACGATTTCATACCCAAGGTATTTCTGGTTGTCAGAAATTCTTTTTTTTCTTCTTTTGCTGACATGTAATGTTCTTTTGTTGTTGTTTTTTTCTGATTTCCATATCTCCGTCGTTCTGCCCAAGAGTCCCACAAAAAATTAGAGCCATATGTTCTTTATTGTAAAATGAATACAAAACAGAACAAATGAAGTCAGGGAGGTCTTTGAAAAATAGCTTAGTTTGCGAATTCTGCATGAAATGCAGTTGTGGTTCTGTGAGGCCATGGCGGAATACCTAAGTAATCCTTGAAGATTTTGACCTTCCATCTCTGTTTTTTTTTTTTTTTTTTTTAAATTTTCAGAGATTCCTCTGAATAATATTTTGGTGATTTAAAACTTCTGTCTTAAAAGTTGGAGATAGGCAAACAAGGTTCAAAGTGTTTATGCCTGCTATTTCCAACTCTTTTTTATTTTTCTTGCCAAAATTAATTCCATTTAAAGAACTGCGACTTTCATGAATGTTGTTAGTTTCTGAACAGACATAAAACAGGACCTAATTCTGAAGATATACACTTGGGGGCGTGGGGGGGGGAGAGAATCAAAGGAATGGGCAGGAGGAGGGAGATTTTTCTTAAAACTGGACAATCCAATTAAGATGCACTTGGTTTGGCAGGGTCTCTTAATGCTCGGAGCAGCAATGAAGATCGTTCACCAGAAAACACTGGCTCTTCAGTAATAGTTGATCATTTTCCTGAAGTGGACAAGACTATCTTGATTGAGCGGATAGTAAGGCTACAGAAAGCACATGCTCGAAAAAATGAAAAGATGGAGTTCATGGAGGATCATATCAAACAACTAGTGGAAGAAATCCGGAAAAAAACCAAGTATGTACCTCTCATTAGCTAAGAAAAGAAGAAGGCACAGTAAAACCCTAGTACTGCCCACAACACATTTGTGAAGTAAACGTTGAAATAGTGGTAGCCTTTTCCAAATAGCCCCAGGTATTTCCACTGTTTATTGAGTAAGGGAAAAGACATGTATGCTGTAAAAGCGGAAATTTCCATTTCCCAGCCTTATATATGAATTCAGTAAAAAGACTGTCTTAGTAATAAACAGAACTTGCCCTGAAATTAAATGAAGATAGCAATGATGACTATCTGTAGAAATATAACATTTATGTTTTGATGTATATAACATACTCAGTGCTGTTATGAAAAGGTATGTAGTTGATTCTGAAAATAGTCACAATAAACTGAATCAAAAGTAGTTACTTGCTAGAAAGTCATTAGCTTAAATTTATTCCTGCACTGTTCTTTCACTGACTTATTTTAGAGCTAAAACTCTTCAAGTTCATATAAAAATATTTGTGTTAACTCTGCCATTCAATATTCTGAAGTAATTGTGTGGCTGCACGTAATTGCAATGAAATGTTTAATATGTACCCTGGCAGAATATATCATTACAGATCTCCAACTTTGTAACTGCTAATTAAAACTTACATAATTCAAAGATCTGATCCTTAAAACAATATCCAATGTGGTAAAGTTTCTAAGAATTTACCAATTTAGCTCTATGGTGATATTTTGTCATTTGGAAACAGAACACTGAACTAATTCTTGCCATCTGGAGCAACTAAATGATGTTTGGTAGAAGTGATCACATGAAACATTTTTTACAAACATTTTATACATTAATGGTAACTCTGGGACTATAACTTAGGCACAAACTTATTCCTTAGTTTTATACATTTTTGACTGAAAAGATACCATTTTTTTCATAGTTTCATGTTCTTTTCTTGCCATTGAATAAGCTATGATATATGCAGTAACTAAAGAAATAGTTGAGCAGGGATAATTTGAATATACAAACATGCTGTACAAAGAAAAGGGAAATTAATGATATTATGGCAGTTCACATATTACATTTTAACACATAGAAAGCTTTCTGTTAATCATTTGGCATATTGGACTGTGCAGCCTGCCCAAAAAGTTATATCCATGTGGTGCAGAACTTGACTGTTAGGTTCAGTGACCAGGTTCATGCATTTCCCTGAGGCTCCTTAACCTGTAGTTTCCTTTGATTTGGCTTAGCACTATCTGTGAACTCATTCTCTCTAGTTTGCAAGCCATAAAGTATGCCACTGTGACTTATGTTAAACATATCCTTGTTTTTCATTTCGGATAGAGAGTTGCAATTCTATACGCATGTATATGGAGTTCCATTGTCTTTAATTAGTAGTGGATGCTAGAAATAAATAGCAGCCTGGCCCATTCTTCCAAAATTACAATACAGGACTTCCCATTCTTGACATTTTCAAGAGTCATGCTCTGGGTAAAGCGTAATAAATGGATTTTCTTAGTTAAGGTGTAAGACTGATGCAAATGAATCAGAACCTTCCCACAAGGGCACAACTTTTCTGTGACATTGTCTTATGTTACTTTGTTTTTTATGCAGAATAATCCAGAGTTACATTTTGCGGGAAGAAGCTGGCACGCTTTCATCTGAAGCATCGGATTTCAATAAAGTACATTTAAGTCGGCGTGGTGGTATCATGGCCTCTCTCTATACATCACACCCTGCAGACAGCGGACTCACATTAGAACTCTCTCTGGAGATAAACAGGAAACTTCAGGCAGTCCTGGAGGATACCTTATTGAAAAATATTACCTTAAAAGTGAGTATTAAAATAACACTCCACAATACACTTTATAAAATACTGTGCACCGTTTCACAGTAGCGTTAAAAATTGCAGAACAGTGAAGAATACTATAGGGACCGTGCAGGAAAATGAACTGCGCGTTTGAATAGCAATTTCCATTAAGAAAAAAGACTAAAGCTACAGTAAAAGAAATTTGATTAGAATTAGGGTTTTTACTCTAAACACATGGGGAAGTAGTTTTCAGAACAGTTAGGAGAATGTTTTTTAAATTTGGGTATATTCTTGTTTTAAGCAAAATGAAATAAATATATAATTAAATTATTGTACGAAATGTTTAACAAAAGAAGCAATCATTATTAATTCCAAAACAGAAGCCCCTCAGATGTGTCTTTCTGGGGAGGGGGTTAGGTAAAATGGGAATTTCCCTTCAAGAGCACAAAGACTCTATCCAAGAAAGAGAATTTTATTATGGAGATTTTAACTGTACATGTGAGAAACTCTTCGCCCATTATTTCTGCTGGTAACAGGTATTCTAAGGAACTTTGTCCTTGAATCACTAGTCAAAAACCCCTCTCTTCACATGTAGGGCCCATGGCAATGTCAGCAAGTTTGGGCAATTTTACTCCTGTTAGAACTAAGAGGAATTTTTAAAAAGAGAGCAAGGACAAAATTAGGCTAATTCCTTAGTCACGAACTAGTACAAATTGAAATTCATCACCTCTATCCATTTCAGGACTAATCTGTACTTAAATGAATCTTCTCATGACTTACTAGATTTAAGGCCAAAATGTCTACTTTAAAGACTGACTGGAAAACAAAAGTTTCTCAATATATTTTTTACAGTTTTCAAAGTCGGTTCTTATTTATTATTTTAATGTTTTATATGGTATTTTAATTGTATGACTATAAGCCTACTAGAATCTCCTTGGCAAGATGATGGCATAGAAGACTAATGATAATTAAAAAAAAATAAATGTCAGTACTGAAGAGATGAGTGTTTTAGCTTAAAAGATTATGGCCCCAGCTGTTACATTTTTTACTTTATAGCTAATTGAAATAAGAACCAGAATCACACTCTTTAATTCCAAAGGAACGTATGATACGGTATTATCTGATTGATGCTGAACCTTTTCATATAAGTCTTTATATTAATTAAGTAAGAACTTGGATTTGATAAGAAAATAAGAAACTCAAAAAAATTAAATCAGCTTTAACCAGGTTTTCTTTTCCTTGATGTTGCCATTTTAAATTTGCTTTTTAAAGTATATTTTATAGTACTGAAGAATTTGTTAAGGCATCTGAAATATTTTATTTTGTTGGTGTGATGATTAAAAAAACATTTATATAAGAGAGTGCCTCTTTTTAAAGAAATGTTTTAAATAATAGAGGTGTGGTGGCACAGTGGTTAGAATGCAGTACTGCAGGCTACTTCTGCTGACTCCCAGTTGCCAGCAGTTCGATTCTCACTTGGTCAAAGTTGACTCAGCCTTCCATCCTTCTGAGGTTGGTAAAATGAGGACCCAGATTGTGGGGGCAATATGCTGACTCTGTAAACCGCTAGAGAGGGCTGTAAAGCGGTATATAAGTCAGTGCTATTGCTAATAGAAATTGAATTCTTGAATCAGAAATGTAGAACAAATTATGATTATCACACTTAATTCAGCAGTTTTGCATTGATTAAAAATGCATGACTAAGTGAATGCATCTTGTATCTTATATGTCTGTGCTGTTTCAGATAATATTCTTGAATAAATTCTGAATGTGTATATAGATCTATTTGAATTTAAATATTGGAAGCTCTGCTAACAATTTGTGTCTTCTTTTTTCTTCAAAGGATAACCTACAAACTCTTGGAACTGAAATAGAACGATTAATTAAGCAGCAACATGAATTAGAACAGAGGCTGAAGCAGACATAACTGAGACCAAGATCAGAAAAGTAGATATTCCAGCTTTGATGATTATATAAAATTGGATGGCCAGATATGTGTCATCAGTCTAACGAAGTTTTAACAAAACAAAGTTGACTGTGAACAACTTTGACTTGTCTGGTTTGCTTAAACAAATGGAGACCTTGAACTTTTCTGAACATACTTTCATCCATCACTGAAATTAGTCATATCAACACTTGCAGCTTCTTCTTGTTAGAGAGAATGCAACCACTCTGCTTTGTGCAATTAAAAAACCAACTTTTAAAAATGGACTAATGTATAAGACTGGTGCATTTGTTGTTGATATTTGTTTTGCAGAGTGAAGACGAGGATAAAAAAGGGTGGCTGTTGCATGTATATTAACCCCAGTGCCTTCTAGGGCATACATCTTTTTCTCCAAATATACATGCGTTCTTGGATATATTTAGATTTGTTATTTATAACATACATTGTGAAAAGACTTCATAGTACACATTCTTTTAATATACAGTTGAAAGATACAACAGGTATTTTAGAAACTTGACCAAAAACATTTTTTAAAAATCCCTTGAGTCCTCAGATGTGAATAATATCCTTTTTCTTTAAAGAAAGATCACCTTTTTTAAAAAAAAGATTGGGGAAACTCTACAGAGTATAGACGTAAGAGGTTAAAACTGATTTTGTATTTATGGGAAAACAAAATATAGAGTCATGAAGCCTTCAAATCTTGCAGATTGACTGCGTTCATTGAAATGGAAATAATTGACACTGTAATGACTGCAGATAAGCACAGGTGACATTACATATATCTGAGCAAGTGACTGATAAGATCCCATATTGATTGGAAAAGAAAAGGGGATATGCCCAGATATTGAAGATACTGATATCACCTCCATAACTATTTAACAATATTAGTCTAATTATACAAATAAGGATAATTATTCTTTATGTCCTCCATCATCATCGTCGTCTATGTAGCTTCGGTTGGGATAACAGCTACAGAATTCCTAGTGACCATGCTGGCTAGTTACTCTGTAAGGCTTTTTAAAAAGTTATATTTATATTCTGCCTATCTACCCAGTTTTGTGTAGCACCCAAGGCAGGTCATCCTGGTATGCTTGGAAGAAGATTGCAAGTGGACTGCCGTGGAGAATAATGAGACAATAAATAAAGGAGCATGGCTTAAACCTGGAGATGAGAGCAACTATTGCAGTTCTAGGTGTGAATCATTAAATATAGTTCAGGCTATGAATAATGTTAAAAGAGAATCAAGGGTGTTGTGATGATAAAATCATCTTTCATGCCCCTCTCACAACCTGGGGTCCTCCATGCAGTTGGTTAGGAATAAGGGGAGTTGTAATGAATGACATCTGCATTAACCTCGGAGAAGAGAAAGTGAAGGGAAACCGATGTAAGCTCTATATATACACCTTTTTTATTGCTTTGACATGCACTAGTATGTGTGTATCTATGCTTCCGAGATGAGATAGACCGAATACTCAAATACCCTTTTGTTCTTTCTCTGGCGCGAAAGGGAAGCAATAGATTTTTAGGTATGTTAGGCAAATACTTAGCCTTCCTCTTTTTAATTGCTGCTGCACTTTCAGGAAGACAGCACTTTAAATGAATCCATTGTCCAAACATTTTCCCCACTTTTGCTTGGTTAAAAATAGTTGCTGTCCAAAAATGTACTATTGCAGAACACCTGAATCTTGTATAATTATTTTTTTTAAGTAAGGTAGTCAGAAAATTAAGAGTTTTTCATTTCAGCAATAAAATCTTCTTTCCTGTGACCATTTCTATTCTATTCTCCCTTGCCTGGTATTTGAGAGGGAGGCAGCAACGGTTTCGAGTTGCAGTGTTCCTTGTGATTGTTTATTCCAAAGTACAAAACTCATTTAGCAGTGTTTACATAGTTGCATGTGATGGTTTCATTCCTCTTCTCAAGTACAGAGATTTTAAGGCGTGCTTTGGAGATGACAACAACAACAACCAGCATCTGAGGTTAAACAAATCCCTTGTATAAATGTGTAGATAGTGCTAGAGTTTGTATTTTTCTAAAAGTTGTGCTTTTCATATTTTTCTGAAAACACAACACATGTATAGCTGTAACATTACAACAAGCAAACATGCTTGCCTTCTGATTCATAATGTTAAATTGTACATTGTATCTTTAGGATTGTGGATATTGCTGTACAGAATAATTTTCAGGTTACAATCCTGTGTTTTCTTGCTGAGGAAAGAACGCCTGTTCAGTACAACTGGACTTATTGCTGGATATTTTTCTGCATACTGTTTTCCTTCATGTTTAACAAATTAGGGCTGAAATAAAAATGAATGCCCTACTTAATCACATAATATTGATTTTAAGGACTGAAATTTAAGCAGCGTTTGCATGTCAAAGTATTTGTAAAAGCAGAGTTTGTCACATGTATGACAGAACTATATTAATTTTCAGACCAATATATCGCTGACCTTCAAAACTTTAGCCTGTGAACTAGATCCATGTAGTAATTATACTACATAATTATACTTGTAATTATACTGTAGAATGTTTAAACTGCATTCAAGCAATCATTTTTCTTGAATAATATATAAGTTTGAAGCTGATAAATCTTGTCTGAGTACGGAAAAGATTACATTGTGTGATGCAAAATGTATTGCAGTAACAGTCAATCCAAAGAAATGAGCTTTTCTAAAAACACAATTAGAAATAAGCCTGGCATATTCTCAGTGTGAGCAAGGTTGTCTTCTAAATGTTAGAAATATACAAGTTGCATCAAACCACCTTTGTCTTGGCTTAGTAAGCCTTGGTGTTTCTACACTCCAGCCTCACCTAACCTATTCCAAAATGTGTCAGCACCTAAGCCAAAGAATATACAAGTAAGCTGAAAGCAGGGGATTTTTTTTCCCCCTTAAACTTAATGCCAGGTTTTCTTTACCTTTTCTTTTCATAATTTCCTTTGGCTTTCTTTCCCATCTCTTCATCCCCAGAAACCTGCTTTCCTCCGGTTTTCAGGTTTTTGGCAAAATATTGGCAACTGTTCTTGAGAGTTTATTTTGAAAACATTTATAGGATCATGAAATCAAATCAGTCTGACACTTTAGAAGCCTCGTTGATTTCATCTTCAGAAATGACCCACCTCCTTCAAACATATCTTTGCTTGATGACGAGCAAGACACTTGATTGGGGAGATTTAATGAAAACAGAAGTTTTTCTGGATGTTGAATCTGCTACAATGACGAGGGTTTTTTTGTTTTGTTTTTTTATGGCTGTATTTGCTTTCAATAGTGAACAAGTGTCAAGTTTGAATTGATCTTCCATACTAGTACACTAAAGCCAAAGTCCCCCTTGAATGAAGCTCAATTTTTTGTGATTTTTATGGACATGTCTATTTTATTGCCAATAATATGAATTTGCTATTCTGCGATTTTTCAAATGTGTTAATTTTTAATTCCAGATTAGTATTTCTTCATTGTCTTCCATCCAAGAACAAACAATGTCCCCTGATACTTAGTTTTTAGTTCATTCATTGCAGTATGAGCAATGATACATGGCTTGGACAAATAACTTGTGAATGCTGTTTATTAGCAGTATTAAGTAAGTAAATTAAAGTGGCTTTCTTTATATTCTTCTTTATATTCAGGATAGTTACACCCATGGCTCCATACAGCAAACATTTGACCAAACAATAGCTAAATTGAAAAGAGTTTAATCTATTAATGTCCAATGACCTTGTCTTCATTAGTGTTCTTTTTTAACTATTTTAGCTCACTGAATGAGGAAAAGTTGTATGATAGATACCACTGGATACATCTACAACCAGGAAAACCAAGCATAATGAATGAATCAGAATGGAAAAATGCAATGGGAAAAGAAGAAAGTTTGAAAATTACTCAGACAGTCTTAAATTATTCTAAGCCGGTATATGGATTCAACTGTCACTGTTGTGCTTGGTTCAGAATATATTCACAAATAGCAATTAATATTATTTATTGCTCAGAACTCAGATCTTTGGTAAAGTGATTTTAAGATGTATATTTCCTGACTAGAAAAGGATTATGTGCTAAACTCGTGTTTCTCAAATTTACCAACTTTAAGATACATGGCCTTCAACTCCCAGAATTCCCAAGCTAGCTGGTGGAATTCTGGGAGTTGAAGTCTATGTTTTAAACAGGTGCTTTTGAAAAACACAGTTGTGAGCAAATAGATGTGTGTGAAACAAGTTTACAGGATTATTTACTATTCAGAAAAGGGAAACCTACTTGAGCCGTGAAGGATGACAGGAGTATCTGTTTATTATTTTGTAAAATATCTAGGCTAGATTCCTAGATTCTACTAGAATTTACTGATTCCTAGAGATCAGTGATAAACTTGAAAGGAAAAAAGATTGTATTAGCAATTTGTCTTTGAAGATGTTTTGTTAACGGAGGATAGAATGAAATACGGTATAGTAAAACGAGCAGTGATGTTCATCTCAAATGTAAACTGATATCCAAATATAAATCATCTTAACCAAATCTATTATCTGATAAAATACGTTTTTGAAAAGGAAGACTATTTACAAATTTGGATTAAATATCTTGCTTCTTTTATGTTTTCAATTCCAGTCACATTTTCTTTACCATTCGGATAATCCCATCTTGTTCATTATAAGTGAACTCCCATTTGAATGCTTTGCTTTCCCTCTATTCTTCCTTGATCTTGAGTGTCAAAGCCTAAAAGTTACAATTGGCCATAAAAGACTTTCAAAACTTGGCTTCTGTAATTTATGATACAAGAAGTTGCAATTAACTGCAATGTACTGTCTTTTTTTTTTTTTAATTGCTACCTGCATGAAGACTGGAGAGAAGCGGGAACAAATGTGGAACATGGCTGAATCTACCTTGGTTTTTTAAGTCAGTATTAAATTGCACACACTTGTCAGAAATTCTTCTCAATTCTTAACAGCAAGTTATTAGTAAAACACAGACCTTTGTAGATGAGTGCTTTCTTAGAGATATGGTGACTGACATCTGAGGGTGGTAGCCTTCCGAAGTATCAAATAATGCAATGTGCTACTTAACCTGAGAATGAAGACTTGTTGGTGCGTAGCATGAAGGATCTGAAGAACGCAAAAATCCAATTCACATAATGACACAGCATTTAATTTCATATTTGAACTTAATGGCAAGTTGACTTGGTAGCACTGGAAAGTACTGTGTTAATGTAGGATGATAGTTTCACTTTGACGTTAAGTACCACTGTGATTAAGACATTACTGCAAGTAATCATCCCTTGATGTTGCTAG